ATTGTCTTGAACAGTTTCATTTTTTCTTCCCAAACTTTTATGCATTGTCAGGACTGTAAAACGCGAGTAACTGCTTTTGGATGCAGATGATCGCGCCAATCAGCTATGTGGTTAATATCCGCAGTCGTTGACATTGTTTTCGAAGTTTTTATATGGACCTTCAGCTACTAATTTGTGATTTATACAGGGTGTTTTTTGCTTACTTTTTATCTTTTGGTTTTCTTTGGCGCATAACACTGCTTACAATACTTATTTCCTACTTAACAATATCAGGTTGCTGCCGTCTCTTTTTTTTCTTCCTATTTTTGGGTAATTGACAGAAATTAAACCTACATCACCCTTGATTTTTGAGAAGGATTTTATAAATTTTTTCTACCAACTTTTAGTATTGTGTTTTTCTTCGCTTGTTTGAAAGATTAATTCTTCATGGTGTTATCAGCAGGTAAAGAGTGGTCTATACACATATGTGGTTGGTCATTGTTAATTTTTATTCACCAGCAGTCGACGAATAAAAATTCAATTGAGGAATTTAAATGTTGGTTTGCACCACTTTTCTGTTTGGAAACTGACTTTTAGTTAATAGTTTCATTTTTTTCCTGTTAACATTTTTTTGGGGCTTGAACATTAAGAAGACTTTGTGTAAGTTATTTACTGAAACATTATAAAGCGTATTAATTATCATTATATTAAGCGTTAAAATAATAATAATATCTCTAAAAATAATATCTCTATAATAAAATAATATCTCTCCTTATCCGGAAGTTTCGCACACATGTGATACACCTACGCTTCTTTTTTGGTTTATTTGGCTTTCAGGTAATGTCGGAATTGATCGCGGGAGGGCCGAGTGAACTGCAGAGTCATAATGATGAAGGCGGTTCTGTAAGTATGGAAGTCAGTGACGTTAAACAGAAAGATGACGAGGGTAGCGCATCAAAGGCTGGTAGTAATGAAGGGTGGGATGCCACTAGTTAGTGTTCTTTTATATTACTTTTTAGGTTCCTTAAGACTTCTTCTCGTTCTGGGTGTTGGAATCCATTGCTATTAAAGTGGAAGTGCTAGCTTTTAAGTTCAGTGAAATCTATGGAAAAATTCACGGTTTATCATTTCGTATAAATGTACTATGTAGATTGTAATTAAAATTTGAAATTGTCTTTCAGTTTGAAAAATAATAATTTGGATTAGAGAAACTCAGTTTTTACTTGAGCGAATATGAGGTAGAAGTTTAGCAGTGATGGAATTATTTCCTTCTTGTTTGACAGTTCTGTTTGAGTTGTACCTTCGACGCAGTCGCAACTCGAGACAACGTCTTTTTCGTTAGTCCATAAAGGCGTTTCTGATCGTAGCGAGGATGTCGCTTTTGGCGGTTCCGTGACAGACGTGCAGCAACACACGAACAGTGAGGTCCAAAGCGTTAACGAACTAGAAGAACTTAGAAGGCAAAAAATTCAGCTAGGTCAGTTATATCTGGTCTTCTACAATTCCTTCGATACCGAACGATAAACGTGTCATATTGTTTTTTTCCAGAACAGGATTTGTTTGTATCTAACGAAAAGCAGTCGTCACTGCAGAGCAGACTGTCAAATTTGAATGAAGTATTGGAGTTGCAGAAGAAGGAGTTGGATTCACTTGGGAAAGACCGTAGCCAGCGTATGGCTGTAATGCGAGAACTGGAAGCTGAACGTGATCAGTTAATGCTTGCAAAGGTTTGTCGTTTCTTTATTAGTATAAAAGATTTATCTGTCTTTAGTTTATTCCTTAATAATAAGTTTACCTCATTTAGCTTTTTTATTGATCCAAATATTTTTCTGGAAGCATAATGCTTCTGTAGAGAGGGTCAGCAACGAAAAGATTAACACATGTTGAGAGTGCGGAAAGGAACCTGAATAAAATTTCGGGAAAGCCATAGACTTTGTTATCCCACTAGTAGTAATATAGCAATGGGATAGGTTTTCGAAAATTATCCGTTTCAAAAAATTTACTTAGCTAATCACTATTCAAGTCTACTTTGAAAAACAATAGGAGAGCTAAAATAGCAGCCCTCTTTGGTAGACTAGTATACACCGTGTTATTTCTAGGCTTAAAGCGGTTTTTTTCGGTTGCTATTCACACTTGTGAAAGACTAATCTAAACTCGGTCTGAGTTTCATTTTTTTCAAGGCTCGTTAGAGATGTAATCAAAAGAAAATCATCCGATTTAAATTTATTGCATTTGTAAACTACTTTGAAACGTGCATAGGCGTAGCCGTACTGAATTCATTCCAGCGTTACTTGATGTGTAAATTTTATTTATTTCCAAATGTAAAACAGTTGCTTAAGATCAGAAATTTTCTTCAAAAAATGTTTCTCAGTAGTTCTATACTAAATTTAGGCTCTGAAAATTAAGTTTCAGAACGACAGTCAACGACTAAGAAAGTCGTAAGCGTAACATATGTATAGACAAAGCAACCTTTGTACACCCCTGAATTAACTCTAAATGTAGAAGTGTAAGAACTGCTTCGCCGTCAAATTTATAAGTGTTTCTCTAACAGCGTGACGAGGAAATTGGACGATGCTTTGTGGTGTTATTTCTTAATCCACACTGTTACTAACATGAAGAATTTCAGTTTTTTGGATGGCGTGTTCTGAATAAAACTTTAATCCTAGGGAACCACTTCGCAACAAAAAATTTTAATAGCCTGCGTTTCGCTCTTTTGCAGCAGTTGTCAGATCATGATTAATTTTAGTAAGTCCCATATCAGTACAGCTTGGCTCACAAGTATATGACGGTCACAGTCATCGGCAGACTTAAAAAAAACATTGCTTAACAGATTAAAACAGGTTTGCAATGTAAATATGAGATAACAACAGCTTAATTACGTCAAGTTGCGAATGGGTAAAATTCTGCAAGTGTTTGAGTGGGCAAATGTGTGTCGGGTTGTAGTAGTAAAAAATCGTTTAGTGAAATCTGCTGCTGATTCTTGTTTTTCATTTTCAGAATGAAAGCGAACAGAAAGCTGAGCTACTGATTAGGCAAAAAGAAGATTTCGAAGCTAAGGTTAACCGTTTGACTCACGATAAGAATCTTTTAACAGGTGCAGTTACACTTTCTTTTGTTTTCCGTAAACAGAGTTGTGTGAATTGATGATCTTGCTGTTATTTTAGTTGATGTACAATCCCTTAAAGCAGAACTTGAGAAAATCACTCAAAAGAACGCCGTACTTGAGGCAGATATCGACGAAGTGAAAAAGGGCAAGCGATTGTTTGAAGTTAGTTAGTGTTTGTTTGTAGTCCATTAAACGTTCAAGCTTTTTTTGCCAGCATCAGTTTCATTTCTCGCCGTTAGAGACTGGTTTGCAAGAATTTTTTTCAATAGAAGTTGCGTTTCTTCTTGCAGTTCTTTTTGAGCGCGATATAATGCTTATTGTTCATTGTCAAATAAGCTTTTACAGTTTGAGAAGGAACGGTGGATTCAAGAAAAAGAGATTTATCTTCACAATAAAGATTGGTTTACTAACGAAATAAGGGAACGCGATACCAAACTTACAGTTCTTAAAATTGAATCGGTATTTTCACTATTTTTTGTTTTAAATATACAGTTCCTTCGTGGTTAGCAAAACTTCGTAGCTAAGTTGTTTAGCTGCGGTTGGCTGGAGAATTACAAGCTGAAAAAACTTCGCTGCAAGAAGAGTGTGAGTCTCTAAGAACTCAATTAAATAATGCCAGAAGTCTAGTGGATCATCGCGATGAACAGATCAATGACCTCAACCGCCGTTTAAAAGAAGTAAGTTTTTCATTTTATTTCTGACTTCTTTGCTTATTCTGTTTTCATTTAGGTACTGGAGGACAAGTCGACAAAGTTGAATAAGCTAGAAGAAGAGCTTTTAACTAGCGAACGTTTAATTGCAGTTTACAAAGAAGCAAGTGAAGAGGCCGAACGTAATTTGCAAGACCTTAACACGGAATATGAAAAGCGGGGGAGACTGTTAAATGAGGCGAAAGAAGGTAAAGAAATTTTTTTATATGGATAGTTTCTTTCAACAGACTGCACTCACTTGCTTTGTTTTTGTAGCAGTACTGGGTATTTTCAGAATATCAAGGTCTCCGTAAAAGATTGGAAGAAAATCAGGCTCATTATGAAGAAGAGTGTAAAAGACAAGGTATTGTTCAATTTTTTAAGATCTTACAAAAAAATTTGGTAACGTTTAATTGATTGCTATTGTTTAGCGGTCTAAACTGCAAAAACTAATTTCTTTACTATTTTAGAGAATAAAATAAAAGAGTTGGACGATGAATTGGTAAAAGCTAATGAATTAATAAAATCTAAACACCGGCGTAAGTTCTGTTCTCAAAGAATTATTTTGTAATTTTCTGGTATTTTTTCGCTGATTATTTATTGCCTTTAGTGTCTTTAACTGACGAAGAAGTTGCTGAAATTTCGCCAGCTGCAGCTGCTGCATCCGCATTAATTAAGGGAGGAGTCTCTTTAACAGCAATATACAGGGAGCATTCTCGCGTCGTTGCTGAACTTGAAGCTTCGAAAGCTGAAAGGTCTCGTCTTGAGGAGCATATAAATGAATTTGTTGAGGTTACCTTTTGTTTTTTAGTGTTAGTGTTAATTTTTGCTGATGTTTCCCTAGTTTCTGCTATGTCAGTCACTTTTTTTCATACTTTTATTTTAAAATTAAATTAGTTTTTTACATTTTTCAGGATTTGGAAAGAAGAGCTCCTTTGCTAGTGCAGCAACGAGCGGAATATGAAAGGCTTAACGAGTTATGTTCAGCGTTACAAGAACAGTTGCAAAGTGCCGACGAAGAACGTCAGCGTCTTGTTTCTGCACGTGACGCTGCTTCACGCGAGTTGGCTTACACTAAAGCAGAACTTGAAAGGACGCAGCGTGATAACGACGACTTGGCTAAACAAGTAGGAAATCTGACATCTTACATTTTATTTACTGTAGCTTTTAAAAAATTAGCAAGATAGAGTTCTAATAAAAGGATTATAACAGATTTCGCGACTTCATTCTTTTCTTTGGGTATCTCTATTTTCATAGTAAAAATGCAGGTACGTCATTTACTACATGCCGCAGAAGTAAACAAAGCTTGGTCTGCGAGGGATAGCGACTCCCCGCCAATAAGTGATGAAGATCGCGATATGCTGTGGTCTTCCATTGGTGAACTGCAAAAAGTTAATCAAAAATTAATGTCAGATCTTCGTTCTGTGAAGGCTAATCATCAACAGATTATACAGGAAGCAAACCAAGCCGAGCAAGTTCTTCCATTTTTTCTGCCAACCTCTTCTTCAGGGACGAAAAGTCAATTATGAAAAACGTATTAACTGGGACTTGTACCTGAAAATATCTTATTAAGTTTTGTTTTTGGATGGGTAAAAAAAAGAGGAAATTTTTTAGATGTCCTTTTGAATTTTGGTTTTTACTTGAAATGGAATTTCTTGTTGGTGTGACTATTAACATGTTTCAAAATATTTTAAAGTAAATTTTTTGGTTTAGAATCAGTCGCTTATCAGAAGCGTTGGATGAGGCCGTGAGGAAGTTAGATTTACTAAAGGATCAGAGTGGTAAGCAAAATTTAATTATTGAGGAGCTGCAGGAACAAAGAGATACATATAAACGTTTGGCTCAGGAGAAGGAACCGAAAGACCCAGTATGATCAAAAATTTTGAGCTATATTTCTTAATATTATTTTTTTATACGTTATGGGATGATTGCATCTTAGTTGTGTTCTTTTTTTGTGCAGGGATCTTTCTTATCAAAGGAACTTGAAAATGCTAGAGACTTTGTCGACCAGTTACGAGCTCAGGTGGAACGCTCCGAAAAATGCTTGGAAATCTATCGCGAGGAAAAGCTAAAGAGTGACAAGTAAATTGTATTTTATTTGCAGCAGTTTTTTTCGTTTTTATTTTGAATATCAGGCTTTTTTCAAGAAATAATATTTCTTTGGGTAGCAAGTTTTATAACTTGGTTTTCGCTGAAGTGCGAATTTGAAGACTAGTTTACAGGATACTGCAAGACAGGATTGATCAACAGTTTTCTCTAATATCGGAGTTGAGAACGACAAACGGAAAGTTAGAGGCGGATGTTGAACTGCAAAGGCAGATTCAACAGAGTCTTACCAAACAGGTTTTGTTGGTTAAAATTGTTTTTATGGGATGATTTTTTATTGCTTAACCAATTGGTATGAGATTTTGATTTAGACTGAATCAGACGCTACAGAACTAGAATTGTTCCGGGAAAGATTAGGAAAGGCAGAAGTAGATAAGAAGGGTCTTGAAGAACGTTTACGAAACGCTGAAGCTCAGTTGTTCATATCTAGGGGAGAGGTCGCTAGATTTAAGTATGTGATTTTTCTGACATTGTCTCATATCTTTCTTGATACACTCCTTTTTTGTTTCAAAAAAGACGGGTAATTCTGAACACCATTTATTGTTTGTTATACGACTTTTCCAAAATGTAAAATTCCTTCAAATTCTAGGAGTGAAGTCGACACTGTAAATGAGCAGATTACTTTCCTTAGAGCATCAGAAGCTCGTCTTCACCAAGAACTTCTTGTTGTTCGAGAATCAAATTACAGTAATGAGAAAATGGCAGCAACCCTTCAGCAATTGCAGGTTTCTTTATATATGACTTACTTTTCTTATGGGTAATTAGGCCAACTTTTATTGTTATTATAGAGTCACCTGGACAAGACAGATGAAGAAAAGTTGAAGAGGTTGGAAGATCAGTTGAATGTTATGAGGAACGAGAATCAGGCGTTGAAGAATTTTGTCAACGAAATAACGGAACAACATCGCATAGTCAGTCTTGACCTGAAGGTTCTGTTTTGCTCTATTCTTTTCTATTGTGCCTTTCTGAAAAATGAACTTTCAGTTGATGGAATAGTTGTATTTTTACTAATCTAATTGCGAGGACTTTTGCAGATGACGTTGAATAAAATAAAAACTGAACGGGATCAGGCACTTGCTAGTAAGAAATCTGCTGAGGATCGGTTAGTGTGGAAGGAGACCGAATTCGCGGAACTCCAAACTAAGCATGACACATTAATGAAACAGCTTAATTCTCCTGACTCGTCTTTAGGTTATAGAGGTTTTTTCCCATACACCGAAGAGAGAAGTAATTTTTTTTCAAGTTTTTTTTACTCATCCCGCTTCATTTATTTTCCAGATACCACTGCTGAGGGGTGCAGGAAGGAAGCCCAGCAACTTAGAAATAGAACAAATTACCTTGAAAACCAACTAAAAGATTCAGAAGCTAAGAGAGAAGGTCTTTTTTATTTACTAATTCGTAAGACAAATTGTTTTATGCAAGCAGTTTTTCTTGTGATTTTGGTTTTCTCTTATGCGAAAAATAATTTATTGAAAGTATGTCATATAATTTTAGCTGCTGAAAAGAAACTGTCTATAAGGGATCAGGAAATTGAGGAGTTGACTAAATTAAGTGGAAAGGTGGAGGCTACATTGGTGGAGCAGGATAAGGTTAGAGGCTTTTTGCTCATTTCTTTTTTTTTTACTGAAATTTTCTTTATTTAATTCCTGTTTTTTCAGTACTTCTATTTACTCCATTTTCTTGTTCAGTTGTTTATTCAACTTTATACTTGAAATAACAGGTCTTAAGCTTTACTACAAAAAAATACTAACTAAAAAGTGGGACTTGGTATTCATAAGATGGACTTTTTTCAGTCTAATGCTGCTGAAATAAAAAGTTTAAAGTCTTTGTTGGAGGTCGTGAATAAGCAGTTAGACGAAAGGTATTTTTTGAATAGAAATTTTTGTCGTATTTTTAACAGCTACGTTAGTGTTACTTCTCATTTTTTGCAATAATTAATATTCTTGTATACAGTCATGTCTTTGCAGTCTCAAATTTTTCTTCACATTTATACTTTTCAGCACGAAAATGGTTTCTGAATTGCGCTTAGAAGTTTCGAAACTGGAACAACGTTGCCATGAGGAGACGGCAAAAGCAGAGCAAGTTAAATTAGAAAGTCAAAGAGAAGTTGCAGAGATTGAGAAACGA